GAATGTTGCTAACACTAGGAGATATATAATGAGATTCTTTTTTTCTTAGACTACATCAAACGGAGTAATTTCTTTCTTATGTTTTTGAGATATCCCAAGGAATTACATTTATAACACATGATCTAGTTAATATGTTAATATTGTAAACCCAAGGCTATAGAAATCTATAAAACAAGGCTATTTAAAAATACGAAACTATTCCAATGTAAATAATTGTACATTTCAAAGGAATTACCTCTAAAGGCAAAAACCGTAGTTACAAAATCTTCTATTTGCTAAGGAGAATTTGACTTCAAAATAATGGACTAGTTTTTATTTTTGTAATACTGAATCCAAAATAACGTTAAGCAAATTTTCTAAAAATGCTACAATAATATATCTTTACTACATTATACCCATGTGTCGAGAAATTTTAAATAGTACTTTTTAATTTAAAAAATCATACTGATTACCTATTTTGCTTACTTTCAGAGGCAACCGTAAGGATGAAGTCACTGACCTTGATCTTGGGCCTTTGGGCTCTTGCAACATGTTTCACAGCAAGTATCGTTAATCAGGATCACACATCTTTATGCTCTTCTCAATAACCATTACTTCAGATCTATTTTTACATTAATAATATTACCTTTTCTTAAATATTAGTAATGATTACACATTGATGAAACACTGTTCTAGTGCTTAAATTTAAATTTAAAATATAATTTAATTTAAATACCTGCATATTGGGAAGCTCAAATCTATATCAGACTGCATTAAACAGCGATATAAATGTAAATTCCTGTGCTCTAGCAATTACACAGTAGGCAAAACCACCGTAAAATGAGATTGTTTAGTTGTTCTTAACATATGGAGTCACCTAACTCACTTACTGAAAATATAGTACTAAAGTCCTCAGCCAAGCCTGAATAAGAGTATCCCATAACGGGACCTGGGAAGATGCATTTTGCAAAGGATTTAGGAGATTCCTTGCATGCTAAATTTTGAGGAAATAATAAACATTTATAGTAACTCCTACCATATATTAAAAACTAGGTTAAAGAAAACTACGTTCATTGTCTTCAACCTAGTTTTTCATTTTAGAACATTCTAAATACACTACAAAATTACAAAGAATTTTTTAATGCGTATTTTTTAAAATAATAGAATGAAACAATTTGAAAGGAGGGGTATATTAATTCCAGTGTTAGAAGGGGGAGATTAATTCCAGAGTAACTTCTCCCAAAGTACCATAAAATCTATTAGATCTAATGGGAAAACATGAAAACTGATTTTTTAGAAGACTGCGACTTCCACAAAGCAGGCAACCTACAATTATATCATTCTGAAACATGAAACATAAAATAATGCCTCTCTCTTCTACTTTTAAAAACTTGAATAAAAGCAGAACATTCTTAGATGACTGAAGTATTCTGACTTTGGCCATGTTACTGCATGCATTATGGGTGGACATAAGTTTTAATAAGTCAAAAACATACTGGCCTACATTAAAAGTCATGTCTTAATGACTTCATTATAAAGCTGATTTTCAATATTTTTGTGTCCTCAGAATAAAAGAGAAAAACATTTTATTATTTTAATGTATCAGGCTGTTATTATACAAATAATAACTTTTCTATAAGATACATTTGAAAAATAGAGCTTTCCAATAATCAAAGCAGTTTAAATAGAAATGAGACTTTTTCCAAATTATGTGATTCATGATGATTAATAACTACCTAACATTGGAAATGTGAAGGGTAACATGTCCTTTGTGTATATATATTTGTAGATGTGGTAAGTAGTCATATTCAACCTGTCACCTTTTGAGTGTTTTCTCTGTTATAGGTAATTTTCCAAATGCATTACATACATTATCTTTTTCAATCCTCAAAGCAAGTCTATTTATAGCCCCATCAAAAAACAAATAAATTTAGATTCAAAGTATGCATAACTTATACATTTAGATTCAAAGTATGCACGATTATTTCTAAATTGAATAATGTAGGAGATTAACATTAGTTATAGCCCTTTGAGAGAGAAGCGGTTCTTCCTAATATGGTATTTTCATCATTTTTATCATTTTACTTTAGCCAATTGAAAGGGAGCTAATCGCTGTGACTGAGTTAAGAGATTAGGAAAAGAACAGATATTTACTACAAAGATTTTTCATTACATAATATTTAGATCAACATCAGGATATCTTTAAAAGGTTACTTTCAGCTAATTTTTTAATTGTCTCAACAATAAAAATGTGTGAAATATTTTCTTATACTACGAATTTGTTTTCTTGACAATAAAAAGTCAAATTCTGAACTTCCACATACCCTGACTAGTCTTTGGATTGGCAGCCCTTGGGTCAAACACTCTCCATAATGCCACAAACTATCACTAGCTAGAGAAGACAAACATGAGGCTGGTCCCACAGAATTGCTTTGGAAATTTTTATTTGTTCATTTCATTGGTGATAGGAATAAAAGTTTTGCTGGCATGTTAAGGGCAGAGGCCAAGTTGAAGAGTAAATGGGAAATAAGAACTGTGTTGGCAAATATAGAATTTCCTTTCATACAGCTTTGCTTTGAAGGAAAGAGATAAGAAGAAAGTCACAACAAGGGTATTGGTGGTTGAAACTAATTCTTTTATAAACAGGTGAATTATATCAATTGATATTTATTTCTCAAATGATGTCTTTAACCTCTCTGCACATGTTAGGTTAAAGAGGCAAGAGTAGAATCAAGAGGTCATATCAAGGGGCTGTTAGAGTAATTTTGGTAAAAATAGTGACAGGTTAGAATGAAAGCAAGAAAGATGATAAGAAGTGGTTACATTTAGAATTCTGGGAGCGGGATGCCGAACTGATAGGATAGGGAGAAAAAACTGAGTTGAACATCAGTGACAGTGCTTTTCTGAAGAAAATGAGCCAATTAAAAGGCAGATATTAAAGTTTCAGAAAGTAAAAGGGGAAGACTGACAGAGCCATGTCCCTGAGAAAAGAATTATAAAGAGAAAGAAACTATCTAGCTATCAATGACTTCATGGTTGTGTGGCCAGTAAATCAGGGAAGTTCATTTCTAATTGCCTGCAATATCTTGGTGAAGTAGGAGGAAAGCCATCTTGGTGGGGTAGATGAGAACTCAGGATGAGGTGGAAAACGATGATAAAACTGGCATCAATGTAAAATTACAGGCCTCTGGAGAAGTGGGAAGAGATAATCTAAGATAATCCTCAAAAAAGGATTTCAGGCAGCACTGAAGGTAACTAACTTTCTGATGGTACAGTACTTGTGACATCCTCTATCATTGTTAAGAATCTGGAATTAAGAATCCAGGAGACAGATGGTTTATGGTAATATTAAAGTTTAGGATTACCAAGGATAATGGGCAGCCAAACAAATACGTGATGGGACTGAGAACCACAAGGAGTGAATGTAGTTTTGTGTGCTGTATAAACTATCTGCTCCAAGCAACCTGGACTTCTTGCCGTCAGTAGAGTGGAACATCATCCTTACCCCAGAACATTTATGGATTTTCCTTCTATTTGGCATGCCCCTTCCTGATTTCATATTCTTTCAGTCTCTTTTCAAATGACTCCTTCTTAAAGAGACAATCCTTCATTATTTTCCTATCCAGAACTGATTGCTTTAGCTCCCTAATGTATTTGTTCCTTGCACTACTTTTCAACTATTTTTTAAATTTTTTAATGAAGATCGGGTTTTGTTATGTTGTCCATGTTGATCTTGAACTGCTGGTCTCAAGCAATCCACCTGCCTCAGCCTCCCAAAGTGCTGGGATTTCAGGCATAAGCCACATGCCCAGCCTCAGATTTTTATTTCTAAAAATTGTACTCTATATAAACCAGACCTGAGATAAGCACCACCCTAGGCACTTTACAAGTGATATTTCATAACAAATCTGACAGTAACCACAGGAGATGGGCACTTTTATGAATGTCATTTTCCTGATGAGAAAGAGACTCAAAAAGGACACCACACTCACCCAACCTCTGTATGCCAGACACAGAACTCAAATAGTGGCATGAAACCCTAGAGACTCATTCCATTCATTCTACTTCCCATTAGATCTTATTTATCCCACCCTGTATTGTAACTAGTCAGCCTGTAGATTCATAGAACACATGTTTGTACCTCTGGCAACCTGTCACAGCTCCTATATTAGCTCATTGCATAAAATAGGTGAACTCACGTGTTTCACAATTTATTAATGTTCAAAGCCCAGAACAACCCTGAACTCTTGAATTAGACTTAAAAAGGCCTGTTTTTCCCATGCTACAAAGGCATTTTCATTTGAAATTTGGAATGGCAGACCTCACTATAGGCAAAGGATAAGATTTTGCTCACTACATATTTTTTCCAGTCAATACTATCCCAGCTTTCATTGAGAGCCTAAGTATTCAGACGGTAAAAGAGAAACTTTTTTCTTTGAAATAGATTTTCAGACATTATAACTTAGATACAATAATTTACTATTGCTCAGTAACAAATTACCACCAATTAGTAGCCTTTAAGAACTTATGATTATCTCAATTTATTTAGCCATAACTCTGAGCTTGACTAAAGTGGCTTCTCTGTTCAGAGTCTCACAAGTCTGAAAAGGTGTGTCCACTGCTGTATTTTTTTGTCTGTAGCTCGGTGTCCTTTTGTAAGCTTGTATGGTTGTTGGTAGGATTCAGTCCCTTGGTTGTTGAAGCCCCTACTTTCTTGCTGCCTGTGAGCCAGGGGCCACTCTGAGCTCCTATAGCCAGTCTGCCATGTACTTCCACATGGCCCTCTCCACAGCATGGCATCTTGATTCAAAGCCCACAGAAAAGCATTTGCTGCAGCTTCAAATCTCTCTAATTTCTTCTCTCTCTGACATCGTAGAACCTGTTTTAAAAGGATAGCATGTGCCAGCAGGGAGTAGAAATCTTGGGGCCATCTTAGAGTTCTCCCTACCATAGAAAGAATTCACCCTTACATTTAACTGTGAGATATCTGATTTAAAATTATTTACTTCTTTTTTCCACAGCCTGGTGAGAGTCAAAGAGGCGCCTGGGGACCATATCCACCTGGACCACTGGCTCCTCCTCCACCAACTTATCCTTTTGGACCAGGATTTTTCCCACCACCCTATGTTCCAGGGAGATTTCCACCACCCCTTCCTCCACGCTATGGTCCAGAGAGAATCCCACCACCCCCTCCTCCACCCTATGTTCCAGGGAGAATCCCACCACCCCCTCCTCCACCCTATGTTCCAGGGAGAATCCCACCACCCCCTCCTCCACCCTATGTTCCAGGGAGAATCCCACCACCCCCTCCTCCACCCTATGTTCCAGGGAGAATCCTACCATCCCCTCATCATCCCCTTTATCGCCCAGGTTATCCACAGCCACCTTTCCAACCAAGACCCTATCCACCTGGACCTCTATTTTTCCCTGTAAATTCTCCAACTGATCCTACCCTCCCTACTTTGGCACCCCAAATACGAACAACTCCAAAAGAAACCATCACCACCACAGAAGATACCATCACCCTTACAACTACTGCTGCTGCTAACAAAAATGAGAATTTCAACACTACTTCAAAGAGACTATTAGACAAAATCACTTCCATTATTGGATGAGAATGAAAAATTCCAAAGCACTGAGTTTTTGAGAGAAATATCTTATAGAGAAATTGTGAAACAATCCCCAAAAACCTTTATATTAATAGGGAAAAATAAAGAATTGAGCAACACTGTGAAGTCTCCACTGTTATCAGAGCCACAAGTTTACCCCTCAGTTATGTCACCTAAACAAATTTTAGTGCTACCAGAGGCTGGTCTTGTCCCCCAAGGCCAAAAAAGTAAGGAAAAATGCAATAAGACACTGGGACTTGAAGTGTAAGGTTATGAAGTTAGAAGAATAGCCCACTAGATGCCCTCTTCAGTATGGCAACCCATCATACAATTACAAGGCACAAAATAGGATATTAATAGACACTAAAATGAAAAACCTTAGCCCTCACCATAGCCTGGCCCAAAGAAATTCCTGAATATCATCTGATCATTGCTTATAAATAGTTACAGAAAAGAAACACAATTCTAGCAAATCTAAATATCTGAGAGGTGAAACACAAGTCTTCGAACTTAATATGAAAATCTTTTTCTACACTAGGACAGAGATAGAAGATAGGTTCAGATGGCAACAAGAAGAAGATGATGACTGAGATTTCCAAGTTTCTAATGTATCTATTCGTTGACATTTCAATCAGAAGTATTGTGATAAGACTATTTAGGAAATGGCCTCATGATGTTATCAGAGCTGTATCTTTCCATGCTTGACTTTTTCCTTCAGGACACTTAACTTCCCTCATTGCCATCAAACACATAAATTAAAACCTCTCAGTACACCTAAAGTAAGCACAAAATTTCTGTATGTATTTAATGCTATCCTTTTTTGTTTTCTCCCTGGAAAGGGTCTCACTCCCGTCACCCAGGCTGAAGTACAGTGGAGCAATCACAGCTCACTGCAGCCACGCCTTTTTGAGCTCAGCAAATTCCACCTCAGCTTCCCAACTAACTGGGACTACACGTGCACGACACCACACCTGGCTGATATTTTTGTATTTTTAGCACAGATGGGGTTTTGCTACATTGCCCAGGTTTCTCTTTCACTTTTGAGAACCTACCAGGATACAGGGACTGTTTTAGTAGCACAATAATAGCAATACTGTAGGTAGTCAAAGTATAGTATTCATGGAGCTTATCTTATTACAAAATGATCTAGAGAAAAAGTGTTCAAGGCAAAAGAGATCAACCATGTAAAGATTTGAAACGGCAATAAATGTTGTGCATGGGAAGAGCCAACAAAAGGTAATGTAGTTCACACTTACAAAAGAGAACAGTGGAAGTAGATGATGTGAAGAAGGTAGAGAAAAAATACATCATAAAGGGATTTTGATTTGGAACTTTATTCTACATGTTATGGGAAGTCATTGTAGCTTCAGATGAAGAAACAGCCTTATCTGATTAACATTGTCAGAACTTCATCACTCTGGCTGATCTATGGATAGCAAACCATAACAAGAGCAAGAGTGCTTAATATCTAGGTGATGGGTTGATAGATGCAGAAAACAAACTTGGCACACATTTACCTATGTAACAAACCTGCACATTCTTCACATGTATCCTCAAACTTAAAATAGAAAGAGCAAGAGAGGTGGATATTTCAGAAATCCTGATGAGAGAAGAGGTGGCTTAGACTAGGGAAAGATCAACCGAGATGAAGCAAACTGATCAGCTGCAGCATACAGCCGAAAAAATATCCAGAAATCTTTGATGAAGTATAGAATCTTGCATTTAAGGAAAAATAAATAATCTAATAGTAACTCTGATAATGTTGGCCTAAACAACTGTGTCAATAATGGTGTCATTTAGTAAGTTAGGGAAAAAATAGGAAAAGATCAGGATGTAAGGGTTTGGAATATCATAAATTCTGCATTGGACATGTTAGGGTTGAGTTATCCATTTAACTTCTGTATTATTGTATTGCTGTCCTACCATGTTATCACCAACTTAGAAACACAAAATGATAAAATTTTATTATTTCACTAGCCTATAGAAAGTCTAGCTAATAGTATGGCTCAGATAGTACCTCTGCTTAGAGTCTCACAAGGCTACAATCAAGGTATTAATAGAGCTGAATGCCTTTTTGCAGACTTTAGGGAAAAATCTGTCTAGAGGCTGTTTATCTCTCCTGTGCAGCTCTTCTTCCTGACTTTTGTTTGGCCACATGTCTCTGAGTCCAGCCAGAAAAAAAAAATCATCTGTTTTCAAGATAAATTTCCTTTCCTTGATTATTTAATAAAAGGGAGACTAGAGTAGATATGAAGTTTAATGCTTTGATGTAAAAATTGGAGGTAATGAAAATTGTTGGTAATGATTATGTCTACAGAATTATCATGAAAAAGGTTGGGTTAAAGTAAAACAATGTGAGCCTTTCAAATCCAAATATGGAAGCACGCAGGTCAAAAACTTAGGAAGCCATGGATTGGATGAACCATTTATAGGGATATTGAAGTCACCAAACCTGATGAATAAAGGGAGAATACTATAACCAAAGTGGTAAAGTCTTTTAAAAATGTCAAGTAGTAACTGGGCAGGAAGAAATTATTTCAATAAAGAAGAGTAGTGAGGAGGCATAGCTTTTATGAAGGTTCTTCAAAGTTGGAATGATGGTAAAGAGATGAGGTTTAGAAATAGCAGCGAAGGCACAGTCATCTACCTAACCTTGGTGTTGCTCTGTCCATATTATTTGCAACTGGCAGTGATGGATGACGTCAGAGTAGAATATAATTCTCAAAATCTTCTCCTTATGATATAAACATTACAAAGCAGTGTTTTCAGTACATGAAATGAGGAGTACCTAAACAGAAACAAGTTGCTGTGAATTACTCAGCAAGGTCCTGTGTACTTAGCTAGCAAGTGGTGATGGGGTGAGAGGAACGAGTATACATGAATCTTCTTCTTTTTTTTTTTAGAGGAAGAAAGAGAGAAAGAAAGAGAAATAATTTGAAAAAAGAATGAAGGAAAGGAAGAAAGAGGAAGAGGAAGAGGGAGAGAGAACAGGGGTGTTGCTTTATTGCCCAGGCTAGAATGCAGTCTAAAAA